TGTTGTTGCTGCCACTGCCACTGCCACTGCCAGACGGCACCGACACCGCAGACCGTCTTCGTCGCACTGCTGCGTTCTCCGCTTCCTCCGAGTCCAGCTTTCTTTTCCATCTGCCGCCAAGCGCCGATTCATCCTGCCCCGTCTGTCGATTCACAGAGTTTGCATTCGTCTCGCTGTCAAAGTCAAACGGCAGATAGCTCTCGCTCTCGCGCTGCCCGCTCTGCCGCTGGATGTTCAACAGCAGAAAAGAAAGCGCGCTGTGGCAGTGCTTCGCCGTCTCCCACTGGCTGGACATAATCCGTAGGATCTCGAGACATTCGCCAATCTCTCTGTTCGAGTCAGTCAGACGAAATGATAGTCGACAAGAGGAATGATTGTCGAATTGCTACTTACTGACACCCCTTGAACAGAACATACTGCCGCAGCTGGCACGCAAACGCTATCACCAGCCCCGCCATGTACGCCGCCGACAACAACCCCGGCCAGAACAGAGCCTGCCGCTTCTCAACCTGAGCCTTCAACGCCGACAGAATCCCCCTCGCTGCGCCGATGCACGTCTGTAAGCCCGAGCAAAAGTCCGGAGAGGACGGGTCCAGCGACAGACACGGCCGGTTGATCAGCAGGATGAGATGCTCGTACAGAACCGAGAAAAACGGCCGTAGGTCAAACGATTCGTCGTCCTGGGGATGGGACGCCTCCCGGCCAGAAGACCCCTGCAGGTTCGGCGGAAGGCTGTTCCACCACCGGTGCACATCCGAGACGAGATACAGCACCGAGCTTCGTCGCACGGTGCGGATCTGAATCGACTTGTGGAAGAGCTCCAGAGCGCGACCGGTCAACTTGCCGTATATCACATAACTGGCCAGCGTCGCCTCGCGGTTGAGCTGCTCCTGACACGAATTCTGGGTTCTTTCATTATCATCTCGCCGACCATCATCATTGGCGCTTGTGTTTTCATTCTCCGCGGACCAGTCCGTCGAAGATCGAGAAACGGACCCTCCTTCTGGCGTGCCACGCGGTGACGCCGGCTTATTATAGCCATGCGCTACAGGGGCATGGCGCTCTGGTGTCCCAGGAAGGCAAACGTCGAGATCGGAATCCTGAATGCCAAGGGGCAGACCCAGCGCCTGGCTCAGGTATCGATCAATCGCATACGCACACCAGAAGATGCGTTTCCGCAGCTGGCGGTCATGCGACGACAGCTCCTTGAAGCGAAACGGACAGCGATGGAGACCGGCATGCAGCATGGATCTCAGGATGCAGCCGCCGACAAGGGATGCACTTCGAAGGGACATGGTGGCCACCAGGTACAATTGGGTGGCCAGGAGGGCCTGTAGCGACAAAATGTCGTGTCGGTAGAGAAGCATGCCCAGCAGCGAATGCACGTTCCCTGGGGACTGGATCTTTGATTCCTGCGGAAGATGCAGATCCGGCTGCACGAAACTGGCGAGGTTGAACACGCATTGGAAGATGGTCGTCCAGCAGGAACTCTTGTGTTCTGATGATGCCCGCGATGGTGCTGACTCTTCATCATCCTTCTCAGTGTAGAATGCTTCCATCTCCCGGAGGAACGACGGGCCATGGAGAAAGGGAAACAGCGGATGCCAGACTTTGAAGTACATCATCATCAACTCCCGGGCATGGTGGAGGTCAGGCGCTTTTCCAAGCACCCTGGCGATGGCGGGATTGTATTTCCACCCCCGAGGCGCCGAAGCATCCTCGGCCGCTGCATTGACATTTCTGTCTTTCGCAGCATGATGCTTCTCGCTGGGTGAGTCTACCGTCCCGACGATGGTATCCTCAGCCGCTGGGAACGCGGGTGCCGATGAACTGTTGCTCCCAGCAGGCCCAAGGCTCTTGGCGAAGGCCTGGCGGACCGTGTTGATGAAGAAGACTCCGCTGGAGCTCCCGACGAACTGACTCTCATCATTGGAGTGGGCGATCAGGGATCCGATCTCTGACGTCCCCGACATGAGGTCTGAAGACTGCATGTTGGTTTGAACATGGCGTCGATGCAGTTCCAGTATCGACCAATGAGCAGACCGTATTCCTATTCAGCAGACATCAATCATGAGAAGGCATCACAGACGGATAATGGGATTGGGATAACGGGATAACGTAGGACGTCCCTATGTCGAGTATATGCAAGCAGGCGATGCTGACTCAGCACTCCCACTTCAGCGACCACTGAAAGACTTCACTGCACTGCACCACTACTGTGGACACGATCAATGCCACACGATATAGCTCCTTGGCAGGAGAAAATCCCGACAATCAACGAGCCAAGTCGACGCAGACGCAGAGCCGTTGCGTTGCTGCGGGGAAGCCTCGGCTGATCGTTCAGCCGACGTCCCACTCGGCCGATACTTATGTAAGCCAATTAGTTATACGACCTCTGATTGGCAGGATGACATCATCATGCATTGCTAGGTCTATTCACTGACATCCGATGGATGACAGGCATTAGTTTTCAGCATATGTACGGAGTATGTGTGTACTCAAGGCTTTGGTAGCTTCTCAATTTCAGCAATCACCGCGTCCGTCACCTCCTGCGTCTTGGACGAGCCTCCCAAGTCCGGCGTTACGATTCCCGCCGCGCACACTCGTTCCACGCACTCCATCAGCTGCTTCGACGCCTCCTTCTCCCCCAGCCAGGACAGCATCTCTGCCGCCGACCAGAAAGTCGCCACCGGATTCGCGATGCCCTTCCCTGTAATGTCAAAGGCGCTGCCGTGGACGGGCTCAAAGAGCGACGGATTCTTCCGCGTCGGGTCGAGGTTGCTGGAGGGCGCGACGCCGATCGATCCAGCCAGGGCCGCAGCGAGATCAGACAGGATGTCCATGTGAAGGTTCGTGCCCACGATCGTGTCGAGGGACTCGGGCTTCGTGACCATCCGGACCGTCATGGCGTCGACCAGCATCTTGTCCCAAGTGACGTCGGGGAAATCGCGCGCAACCTCCGCGGCAATCTCGTCCCAGAGCACCATCCCGTTTCGCATCGAGTTGCTCTTTGTCACGACCGTGAGCAGTTTCCGGGGCCGCGAGCGCGCCGTCTCGAACGCGAAGCGCATGATGCGTTCGATCCCGACGCGGGTGAAGATGGCCACTTCGGTGGCCGTCTCCCACGGCTGGTGGAGATGGGACCGGCCGCCCTGGCCGGAGTATTCACCCTCGGAGTTTTCCCGAACGAGAACCCAGTCGATGGCTCCGTTGGCGGCCGTCGCGAGGGGCGATTTTGTCCCGGGGAATGTGCGCACCGGTCGGACGTTGGCATACAGTTGTAAGGGTCCTCGGATGGCGAGAAGCAGACCCCAGAGGGAAATGTGGTCGGGGACATCTGATTTCTGTCAGTCGACCAACAGAGCTGGACAGTAGCGAACTCATTCTTTATTTTCACGTACCCGGAGCACCAACAGCGCCGAAGAGCGTCGCATCGAAGCGACGTAGCGTGTCCAATGCGTCTTCAGAGACATAGCGACCGTGCTCTTTGTAGTAAGCCGTTCCCCATGGAATGTGCGTAAAATCGATGTCGAAAGTCCCCAGGTGCTTGGCTAGCTTCTCGACCACCTGGATCGCTGCAGCGACCACCTCAATGCCGATGCCATCGCCGGGAATGGACGCAATGTGGTAAGAGGGCTTTGTCCCAGCCATGGTGGTGGACGAACAATGCGGTAGAGGTCGCTATGCGGGGCTCCAACACTGGGGACTCTTCAACGCGTTGTAGAGTGCAGAACAGGGTATATATACAGTACTGGGCTGGTGCCGGAGCATGGCGACGCTTTATCCTGCATTCGACCTCGGGTAGTGCCTAAATATTCCTCCGGGAGAAGACGCTGGCTTGCAGACTGCATCGTCGTCCTGAACGCTTTCCGGTGGAGAGAAGAGCAGCTGCGGAGCACGTGAGGGGTAGCTCTCGGCAGAAGGTTCACCCGGCGGTGCTAGCAACTCGCCAGTATCGCCAGCAACAGTAATAGTTCGATTTCTGGCCCAGCGCAATTCCGCTGTCTTACAAATCCGGGGGGATAAGAAATCGGACTATAATAATAGCAGGAGCCGTGCCGTTACTTACTATGACTTTCTTGCCCATACAGAAAACTTCCTACCCGCGTGGTCGCTGGAAATCGCCCGTCTTGGCACGCTGACCTGAGTTACCATCCTTGTATACCTAGTCGAGTACCTGCCACTTTAGCATGGCTGCTAGTGCCAAGGAGAAGAAGGCAACCCGAATCACGACGGCTTGCAATCCCTGCCGATCTCGGAAGCAGAAGGTGAGTGACATGACCTGTCATGCCTTGGCATGGGTCCACTACTGGACAGGATGCTAACCCTGATCCATCTCTGCATATAGTGTAGCGGAGAGAGGTGGGCAGCTCCTACTACTTCAGCTTCCAGGCCTCATTCCTCTCTGCCGGATTTCTGACCGTGAGAAAAAGACCAGCATGCGAACAATGTCTCGAATACAACCGGGCCTGTGCATGGCCTGCGCAGTTGAAGCGGTGAGCAAGCAGACCCAAGATAACGTATAAAAACGCTGCCCGGCAGATGGTGACTTATCTTCTCGAATTGAATAGGGGCCCTGCGAAAGGCTACATCGAAGCTCTGGAGCACCGTCTCTATGAAACAGAAACCGTCCTGCTGAAGATCCTGCCGCACATCTCCCAGAGCCAACTGGCCTCCATCCTGTCCGATATGTCGTCCGGTTCGACCTCAGGCGAAGAGCGCGGAGGAGGTCGACCGGTGTACGCACCCATCTCGCCGCTACGGAAGCGAGGCGTCGAGTACTGGAAATCGTACCCGCTGAGCAGCGTCCAGAACATCCGCAAATGGGAGCAAGACTGCCACGCTCTACGAAGAGCGAGATTGAATAACGTCAGCCAATATGACGACTCATCGTTATCATCTTCTGTCCCGTCGAAGCGTCTGAAACTGTCTGAAGAGACAGAGTCATCATCGTCGGATCTGGGAGGGAAGAGGGGAGAAGTGGACAACACTTCTCCTTCCTTTGATGGTCGAAGCCCGACGACGGAACCTCCTCCTCCTCCTCCTCCCCATCATCATGACTCCGGATTTATCTCGCACTCGCAGGCCCACACGCACAGATTATTCAGATCGCCGCCGCAGCAACAACAGCAGATCAACGTCGATGCGTTACACGTATCTCCACCAGCAGAAGAAGACCTCTCATCCGAGGAGCTCCACTCTACATCAACAACGACAACATACGGTCGACACACGCAGCAACAAGGTCGACCACTATCAGAAGAAGAGCGGCCATTGGACGCGACAGGCAGCTACTACGTCGTCGATCACAACACGCTCTCGCAGCTGGCATTTTTGAAAGGTGGTGGCGGCGGCAGCAGCAGCAGCGGTGGTGGCAGTGGTAGTAGTAGCTTTGCGCCCAGCGCGCCCCCTGCGCCTCAGGAATTGAGCTCATGGGATGCAGCGCCGCCGATAAAGTTTCAGCAGCAGTTTCTGTGGTAGCTGCGGGATCATCATTTCGTCTCTAATTTCATTCAACCAAGAGATCATGGAGTTCATTAATTACATTGTATGTATGTATCTATTCATTGATTGAGACGAGATACACAGGACGGTAATGCTATGGTATGGCATATAACTCGCTGGTGACTGTCAATTGTCATTTTTGTTTTTATATACATACACACCTACTGTCATTCACCAGACACATTCATCACCAGAATACATATTCCCTCATTAATCATTTAATTACCCAGATGGGAGCCAGTCACTCATAATGAAATATTCAGAGTTACACGAAATTGAGCATGGGCCCTAGCACCCGATCTAGGTAACTACAGAGTACGTACTGTACCTACTTATCAGATCGGCACGTCCTACAAACTACAGACTACAGCAGCAGCAGCAGCAAGGACACAGACTGAGTAAGCGTAAGACTTAAAACCGACCCAGAGACATGATGACATAACTCTATGATACAAGAAAATGGTCGCGTGGACGTGAGATAACATACGAGGTACACACACGAGACAGATGAACTTTTTCCTTAATTTTTTCCCCCGTTTCATTTCTGTTCGTCACGCCCGAATAGCTTCCGTCTTAATTCTTCTTCTTTTTTTTTCTTCCCGGTCCCAATCCTTCCTTAAGCCGAACTAGAGACCTGGTCAAAAGAAAAAAACTCGTAACGTCATCATGAACAGAGGCGGTTTTAGCTGGCCATCCGCAACAAAGAAACTTTTCCGAAACCGGGGATATCAGGACAGAAAAGAAGAGAGAAATTAAGGTCATGGAGGAGTAAAAGAAAAAATGAAATAAAACCCAGAGAAGAACCATAGTCGTTAAAGCATAGCAAGTCGAGTTTCCGTGGCCACCAAGCAGGAGTCCTTCATACCGGGTGACCGGATTCCGAATCGGGCGCTTTTACGACTTCGACTCCTCCGTAGCACCCTCCTTGGCACCCTCCTTCTGCTTCGCGGCATCGCCAGAGGCCTCGCCCTCTGCTCCCTTGTTCTTCATGTACTCGTCGTAAACGTTAAGAGCCTCCTCAACCTTGGCGCGCAGAGCGGCCTCATCGTCAAGCCTAATGACGAATTAGCAAACGCAACTCTTTCAGGAAACGAGAACAACGACATGACTTACAGTCCAAGAAGCTCGGCATTGTCCATCTCCAACAGCATGCCAGTGATCTTGCCGGCCAACTCTGGCTGCTGGGCCTGGACCTTCGGGTATAGAGCCTCTCCGAGCATCTGCTTCTGTTGAGCGGGAGGAGCCGCCGTCAGAGCCTGCAGGGTGAGACCGCCAGGAGCGGCGTCACTACCCGGAACAGGGCCAGGAGCGTTCTGTCCGCGACCAGCCTGGCCGGGACGAACGTGACCCTGCTGAACAGGCACGTTGCCACGGCCCTGACCGTAGCCTGGACCACCGCGCATACCGGGAACGTTTGGTGGCATACCCTGAACCCCAGGGACTTGTCCACGACCACCAGCACCACGACCGAAAGCCTGCGCCTGAGCCATCTGAGGATAGCCCAGACCGTTAGGCATAGCTCCAGGGGCGCCCTGCATGGCTCCCATAGGGATCTGGCCGAAGTTCTGCGGAATCTGCTGGTTCGGGTTGCCGATGCCACGACCACCTTGCTGGGCAGGGAAGGCGGCTGGGTATTGACCAGGTCGTGCACCCGGCATACCGGGCATGACCATACCGGGCTGAGGAGCGAAGGCCATGCCACGCCCAGCGGCGTTGGCGGGAAGGAAACCCTGCTGTCCAGGTCCGTAGAAGACAGTAGGCTGCATGTACTGTTGCGAAGAGAAGTTAGCTGGAAGCTCATTCCGTTCAGCGTGGTAGAGGATGGGAACTTACAGGCTGCGGCATTCCAGCTGCCGCGGCTGCTTGTTGCTGTCTAAGGGTGTTACGAGCCTGAATGCTAGCCTCGAGCTTCATGATGTTAGTAATAAATTCAAAAAAAAAATACACTTTCTCAGCGTTCTGAACCTACCTGGCTCTTGCGAACATCCTTGCGCTGGGCCAGAGCAACATAAAGAGGCTTGCCATTGACCATTCTCTGGTTCATCTCGGTCACCGCCTTGGAGGCTTCATCGGGGCTAGAGAAGCAGACGAAACCAAAGCCCTTGCTCTTGCCAAGGGGCTGGGGCTTCTTCTCGGCCTCTTTCTTGTCCTTGTCGGCTTTCTTGCCATCCTTCTCCTTGTCTTCCTGTTTGTCCTTGGCTTCTTCCTTGCCAGCTTCCTCTCCCTCTTTCTTTTCGGCCTCTTTCTTTTCAGACTCCTTCTTTTCAGCCTCCTTCTTCTCAGCCTCTTGTTGCTGCTGGAGGCGCTCGAGGTGGCTGGTGTCACGCATGACCTTGGCAGAGGTGATAGTACCGAAGGGGCTGAAGAGCTCGCGCAGCTTCTCATCATCGATATCATCGGTGAGGTTCTTCACATAGAGGTTGACACCCTGATACTTGTTTTGCTTCTCAAGGCGGGCGGCCTCATACTGCTTACGCAGTTCTTCCTCGCGTTCATGCTTCTTCTGGGCACGACCGACGTAAAGCTTCTGGCCCCGCCACTCCTTGTCGTTCATCTCGTCGACAGCTTTCTGAGCACTGTCGTGAGTCGAGTAGTTCACGAAACCGAACCCACGGCTCTTTCCAGTCTCTGGGTCGCGGCTAATGGTCGCGGACGTAATCTCACCGTATTTCCCAAAAAGCTCGCGGAAGTCATCGTCGGTGGCTTCGAGGTCGATGTTCTTGACGTAAACATTGGTGAAGTTGGCCTTCATCTCTTCGAATTTGCTCTGGCGATCCTTCTTGGAGATGTGGTGGCCGACGTAGACCTTCTTGTCGTTGAGCAACATTCCGTTCACGTGCTTGATGGCGTTGTTGGCGGCTTCGGCAGTCTCGTAGTGGACGAAGCCGTAGCCCTTCGAGTTTCCATACTCATCCTGGGCAACCTTGCAGCTCAGGATGTTACCGAAAGCAGCAAAGGTGTCGTGCAGAGCCTTGTTGTCGATAGCAGTATCCAAGTTCTTGATGAAAACATTGCCCTGGCCAGTCTTGCGCAGAGCGGGATCACGCTGCGACCACATGATTCGGCACGGGCGGCCCTTGATGAGAGTGTAGTTCAGGTCCTCGAGAGCGCGTTCACCATCGGCAGTGTTGTTGTAGTTGACGTAGGCGTAGCCCAGAGAGCGTCTGGTGACGGCGTCGCGGCAGACACGGATGGAAGCGACCTGTCCGATGGAAGAGAAGAGCTCGTAGAGCATCGCCTCAGTAACGGACGGGTCCAGCTCGCCGACATAAAGGGAGGCCGAGTGGGGCTGAGTGGTGGTGGTAGTGCTAGTGGTAGTAGTGGTAGTAGTAGACGTCGCATTCTCGGCGGTCGTGCTCTCAACCGTGGTGGTGCCGTTCGCACTGGCATCAGCAGTGCCGTTGGCGGTGGTGTCCTCAACAGTAGGGGCCGTGGAGACGTCGGCAGACATTTTGATGGGAGTTTCTTAGATTTTCTGAATCTCTAGAGAAAGAAAAAGAGTGCGATATTAGTCCAGATGTCTGGGTTGTCAACTGCGAACCACACGGCTGTGTGGGTGTCTTGTCGCAGGCAGCGGAAAGGAGGTTGGAGACGCACAGTGTGAAAACGAAAAAAAGGTTGGAGGGGCGGGAGCTACAGCACTCCTAGGACTGAGAAGGGGTATTTCTTAACAGCAGACTGGGAAGAACTGGTCTCCGTCTGCACACAACAAGCTGGAGGTCACCAACGACGTTCGCGAAGCTGGTGATCACGAGGGATGGGGCAGTGACTGCGAAGTATCTGGTAAACACCACACAGTCAAGAGGATGAATGTTTTTAATGGATTTTTTCGCTTTTTTTGGGATTTTTGACTTTTTTTTGGGTGACAAAGGGGAAGAGGTAAGAAGGAAGAAAGAAGGATGCTAAAAAGCTAGCAAAGAGGGATGGATGAGTGGTGGTGAAAGAGCTTTTGACCTTTAGACGGGGTTTCTGGAAAAGTTGAAAGGGAAATTTTGTGAATGGCACGCTAAGCCCTTTCGGGACATCTCGGGCGGCCCTGTGAGATTTTTTTCTGGTGAATCACGTGCGCCAATTGGCAGGCAGTGACATTGCCACCACCACAACACAGGACCATGCTCAGGCTTAGCCCAGGGACAGGGCTCTCTGCAAGGTGCTATGAGGGGGCAATCACATCCTGTGCTCTTGGAGTGAATGCTGGTGTTAGGGTTCTGCTTTGTGGCAACGCCACACTCCCTACAACGATGCCGAAGAATACCCCAGGCTCGATTGTAGCTGTGTGTACTGCCTGCCTACCTTGTACACCGTTTGTCTATTATTGACTACATCAGGAATCTGATCTTTATCTCACAGAGAAATTGATATATATTGATATCATCTAAATGCTAAAAGAGAAGACCTGCCAGACGCCTCTGCTATGCAACAATCATCAAACACAACTGAATCCTTGCCCCTGTAACAAAAAAAAATTAATGCACATTGGATGTTGCAATCCTGCCAAAGAGAAAGTGTGGAAAAGGCTCAGTTTTCAACTCAGATCAAACCCAGCTCCTGCATTGATAGCATATAAAAGCTTCTCCTTCAAAATACGTGCGTTCGAATACCGAGGAAGCTTCAACAGATTGACACACGTGCTGGTGCTGGGAAGCCGTTCTTCATCATCACTGGAATCGCGGATACTAAATCTGGGATTGAGATGACTAAAACCCAACAATGGTGCGCGAGGAGTAGACGTCACGAATTTGAGCACCTTCTGCCGCTCTTCGTTGGTCATGCCCTCCATGACTTCCCAGAACAATTTGACGGTGGGGTGTTCTTCTTTGTCATCGCCAATGCTGTACACTCCGCCGTAAAGCGTATTGCGCCTCAAATCAGCGACATCGATCTCTCCCGAGTCTCCTCCAACAAGCGTCTGCAGCTCCGACTGATTAAACATCGACAGCCAGGACGGTTGAATGATCTGCCCCAGCCCCTGGAGAAAAGCATTGGTCTGGTAAAACGGCTGCACCTGGAGGCGATGGCGAGCAATGTAAGATATGTAGACGAGTCGATTCTGGTTAGTGACAGGGATGTTCGAGCCATTTGGCTTCAACTCCCGGGTGATGGTGCGCGTTGTACCGTCCGGCATGGGAACCGTATCGGTGACCGTGAAGTTCAGGGCAAAATCTTCAACGTCTCCAGGATAATTTTTCAGTTGTAACTAAAGACAGTCAGTGGTGGTAGACAACGCAGCAACAGACCGAAACATACCAGTCCCTGGTACAATCCCTCATCGAGCTCTCTCAAATCGTTGAGATTGGCCCGGTACGCTGATTCCTTCTGCGCGGAGCTCAACCCGCCGGTCAGAGCCCACTTGAGAAGAAAGAACCCTGCAAAGTGGACATCCACCAGGATCCCCTCATAGAGGCACTTGCCTATGACGCGGCCGAGAAATTCGTAGCGTCGAAGCAGATCCCGTACTTGTTCGTTCCACTCGGGGCTTCCTTCCACAAATCCCATCTCCCGCAGCAGCTCCTTCCGCTGTTCGACAGCAGCCGGATTTGGATAGAGGAGGTTCTGGTCGTTTTCAACAAAGAGGTTGAGTCCATCCAACGACTTGAAGGCTTCGTTCGTCACACTGGTCAAGAACTCCTTTGTCACTCCGCCACCGTCTATTCCAGCCTCCACCGTTCCGAATTTGTCAATGAAACTGATCTGGATTGGCTCTTTGAGGCCATCACCGAGATCGTAGAATTGATCAAAGGCGTCTTCAAAGACATTATCACGCCGGATGTTGGCATGGTGGCGACTGAGAATATCTTGCGCTGCGGGACGGCCATCTATCATACGTCCCATGGAGCTTTGAGCAACGGACATCCGCCAAGCGTCAGGATCGATGAACCCGTGTCTGCGACGCATCTGATCCCTGTAGATAAATTCACGGAAAATCTGCACTCTGGTTGCAAAAGGAATGAAAAAGGGCATGTTTCGTAGAATCTCAAGCCGAGGCGCAACTGCCTCAAGCTGCTTTCTCCGAGCTGCTTGTTGCTGACGACGCCTAAGATACTCAATCCGACGAGCTTGTTGGGTCCGACTCGTTCCTATCAGTCCGAGAGACGGTTCTGGAACGAGGTCATCCAGAAGGTCATCTTGATTCTCATCATCCTCTTCGCCTTGAAGCTGATGTCGATTCTCCTCCTCTGCAACCACTGCAGGGATGAAGCCTTCCATATCAAAACGGCCGGTCATCAACCAATGGCCATCTGGAAGGAATTTGCGACGCGAGCTAGAAATATACTAAGTCAGCATCTGTATGGAGGGGATATTTGAAATGGATAACTCACTCTCGCTCGTGAATCATTCTCAACAGTCCTGTCACCAAGCCCTTGAAATAGTCAAGCGGGATCCCTGTCACGCCAGGGAGGCCCTTCTCTTTATTCCTTTGCTCCAAGTCCCTAACACTTGTTACGGACTCGGATGGAGGAGCTGAGGTACTGAAGTAGTCCCGGATACTACTTGTCTCCTGTGCAGCGCTCGTTTCATCCAGATCCGCTGCGTTCCAGTACAGTGTGAAAGCCAGGTTCTTCAGGAAAATGGTCATGTCTTTGACATCCCTCAGCGGCAACGCGCTCTCTTTGGTCCAAGAAACCCTTGTGTCCGGCGCAGTTGACAGAGACTCGCCTGAGAAGAATTCATCATCGTCCATAACTTTGAGAACAAATGTATATAGCTCTAGGAACAATAAGATGATTGTCCATTCCTGCTCTCGCTCATGCGCAGCAGTATGGAGCATCTTGCCATCACTAGAATTCTCGGATGAGATCGGTTTTAATAATGGAAGCACTTCATTCGAGTCACGACTTATCGTGGCAAAGATCTTTGTATTTCTTGAAGCTTGCCAGAAATACTTGATCGCGGGTACTCGTAATTTTGGTAGAGACGGTGAGGGCTCTGCAGAGGTTGCAGAACCCAGATACAACCACATCCGAATGTCGTCTCCACGACGTGGGAACACCCTGAGAAGGGTCAACGCGTATGAAGCCAAGTTCTTGGCATCATCAGAAGCATCTGTGTCAACGCCCTCGATATTGTTTAACCGTACCCGGGACAACAGGCCGGTGATGCTGTTCTGATTGACAAGACTGACGATCTGTTCTCGCACAAAGGGAGGCAGCGGAGAGGTTTGATTCCGCTCGTTCTCCGCAAAGTCATCAGGTTCGAGACGGCGTGATACATAGAGAGCCAGAGAGTTCAAGAGGTTAGACACCACCTTCACGAATCCTGGTTCGGGAGCTTCTTGTGAAGCGGTCCCACCCAGGGCATAGTGATGGAAGAAAATGAAATAAGAAAGGAGCCATAGACGAGCATCAACATCCTCAGTGATTGATTTGCTGTTTGAAACATGAGAGATGCATGCGTCCAAAGCCGAAGTCAGAAGCTTGTAGTTGATATTCGATGCTAACTCGTCAAGAGATCCTATATGACTGGCAAGGTCCGGAATAGTGAGATACTCGCGGGCGAACCACTCATAGGCTCCGAGTGTTTCTGATGTGATAGGTTGAAGCAAGGCAAGCACACCTGCAACGAGAGCGCCTACAGATAAGTCCAGCCTTGTAGAAAGAGTCTTGAGATTGATGGTCAGCGTTGCCATGACGGAGTAGTACTCCTTTGCAATCCGGGCCATCGGTTTCGGGATCAAGCCTATTAAGAACTTGATCAACCGAAGAAGGGGTTCCACCGAGAAGCTGGAGGCCCGGGAAGACGTAGCCAGAGCATGCAGCAGCTGGAGAGTCGTCTTCGCCAGGCGCACCAGCAGCGTCGTCCACTCCCCTTCAGTGGCTATCGTAGGTACCTCTTCCAACGTCTTCTGGAACGCATTTGAGAAGTACACGAGGCGCGCAGCATCCTCTTCCTTCCTAGTCTCTAGGAAATGCAAGAGGAGTCTCAGCTGCGACAGACACTCGGCCGGTGTTGAGTATCGAGCTGGGGAGCGAACTTCCTGCGCTTGAGTCTGAGCGTAGTTGTCGAACGACAGCACAACCCCTAGTCTCTTTTGTTCCACGGCATCCCATTCCGCCCTCCAACGGCCGCGTGTGATTTTCCTGCTTCTGTAGCCCCGCCATGTCCGTTGCAGAGTGCGAGCTGCGCCCAGTCGTTGTCTTTCCTGTTGTCTTATGATACGCTCTTGCTGAGCAATCGCAAGGGTGTTCTGAGGCCCATAGCCATGAGGAGCTTGTCTGGCGGACGGTGACGAGGCGAAAGGATTATTGATATTGCGCCCGGAGAGATTAACCTGCCGGGGGCGGCGAGAGTTCCCAGTAAAGGACTGGAACATGGCTCTTCAAGAGAGAACGGATTCACCGACTGTGGCGATAACTCAAAGTGAAAATGTCAAGTCAGCCCCGGCCTCACTGTGCCTGGACGGCCGTTTCTCCATGGTTTGGGATGACAGAAGGTAAGAGAAGATGCTGGACGACAGTAGCTATGACATAGGCTTGCCTAGTGCTGCGGGATGCATGAGTGACTCGCCGGAGCACAGGATTATCCGCACGCACTCGAATCGCGGCTTTGCGAGGCCGGAGAAGCAGCGGCCACGCACTCCGGCGTTATTTCCACCGCCTGGCAATGACTAACACTAACTGCTGATGAATTTGATAAATCCCATCACTTTCTAATGCAATTTGAATGATGATGGATTTTGCCCAATGAATAAGCAGTGACTGTAGTTTCCCTTCTCAAGTCATACTCGGATAAATTGGAGGATAAAAGAAACACCGTCTTATGCGACCCATGTGACCAATATCTCAGCAAGAACCTTCCAAAACCCATTGTAGTGCCTCCTTTGCCGGTTGGCTAGAATCAAAGCAATATTGTACATGAAAAATGATGACAGACAATTCATGATGAAGTGAAAATGGCCGCTCTCTTGGGCTTCTGCATATCGTCACGAGTCCTTTTTCAGCGGAATCTTGGTGTCTGGTCCTCCCTCTCGCTCGAGTCGCTCGCACTCCAAGACTTCCTGCCCATTGTCTAGCATCCACAACTTGAGATAGTCCTTTCCGTCAAATGCGCGTTCGACAGTAATCGTCCTTCCGTTTTTTTCGATGTCCTTCGTGTATTTGCTCCGTGTCGGGGGCATCGCTTTGGTGACAAAAGGAGTAAGCTGCACAACGGTCAGAGAGAACACTTCAAATGAGGATCCAGTATCATTACTCACTTTGAAGTCCTTGAGCTTTTCAGGGACAACGTATGTCCGCACTTTCTTCCAGTCGATCACGTAGGAGCCGTTCTTCGCAAAAAACCCCATAGAACCGGACCGGGTTCCCTTGTAGTACCCTCCATTGACTTGTTTCGTTGTAAGGCGCAAACGCGCCATCATGGGCTGAGATGGTTTGACCATGTTTGGCAATGGTTACAGGAAACCATGCACTCTGGATGAGAGAGGGCTTCCTCGAGATGTCTCTGCAGTGGAAGTAGCCGCATGACAGCTGCGGAATTTGAGATGGCGCTAGTAGGAGTAGCTCCGCCCCGGGAGAACTTTTCAGTCGCCCAAAAAAAATAATTGACCCCACAACTTGAAGTACCACGAGCAGGAGCTAACTACCAAAAAAATTTCTTATCGTCTACACATCTCTCCTACAGCAATTTCTGAGTTGCCCCCAGGGCAAATTTTTCTTTAGCCATGGCCGGCAGAAAGGTGAATTTGCGCGGCCCCAAAGACGAAGTTGAACGGAAGCCGAAGCCGAACCCGAAAACCAGAGGGGGCCTGGATGCACTTGCCATTGCAGAGGACCAATTTCCTACGAAACCAAAAATCCGGCAACATCGCCTTGGAGAAGTCGATGATTTTTCGAAGCGTAAACGTCCGGGACAAGATGGAGAAGGTCCGAATACAAAACGGCGGAGAACAGGGAACGAAAACTCGGACGACAGCGAAAATGTCGGAAGTGACAGCGAAGGTCATGAGTGGAAGATAGGAGAGGTCGACAGTGAAGATGACAGTGAATTGGATAGTGATGAGGCCATGGGTTCAAGCGACGAAGAGCGTTTCGAGGGATTTACCTTTCGCGGGAGCTCCTCGGGGAAAAAATCGAAAGCCAAGAACGCTTCGGCCTCTACAAAACGAAGCAAGGAGATAGATTTGTCGGAAGATGTTGACGAGGGAGAATCTTCCCAGTACGACTCTGAAGATGATCTGGGATCGGACGCGGTAGACCTCGCGACCGCTTGGGACATGAATGCTGAAGAGGACGAGGTTCCCGATAAATCTTCAAAATCAAACAAGGATAGCACCAAAAACAAGTCAAATGCTAGTGACTCTGAGACAGATGAGAGTGGCGATGATGATGACGAGGACGACGACGACGACGACGACGACGACGACGATGATGATGATGATGATAATGCTAGTGAGGATACAGATTTATCTATTTCCGAGGATGACGGAGACCCCGAGACTCAAAGTGGGCTTTCAAAGCTTCAAGACTTTGTCAATTCTATGGAAACTACTACAGCCAGCAAAACGTCTCAAAAAGCCAATCGAGGACCGGAGAGCGGGGTGCCTACAGAATATGGCTTAACTTCCTCACGGAAACTCACTGTCGCAGATCTTCTACCCTCAGTAACCGATTCTCGCTTGAAAAGCTCTCTGAAACATCTAGATTCAGCTACTCGAAAAACCAAATCTTCCGGTGCGACTGGAAAACTAGCTGCGCCTCTTCCAAAAAGACAACAGGATCGGCTCGATCGAGCGGCCGCTTACGAGAAAAGCAAGGAGACATTGGATCGATGGATTGAGACTGTCAAGGCAAATCGACGGGCTGACCACCTTTCCTTTCCTCTTCCTGATCCCGAGGTGCAGCAACTGCCTAGGATAGGACCAGTCAAGCCACAGACGGATCTTGAAAGCACAATACAATCTATCTTGGTGGAAAGTGGCCTTGCGGAATCAAATGAGAAGTCCGGAGAAGAGAAGATCCAGGAGGCTGAAGAGCTGGAAACGAGAAAAATGTCTCTTGAAGAAGTGCGAGCCCGTACTGCCGAGCTCCGCAAGCGTCGGGAGCTATTATTCAGAGAGGAAGTCCGTGCGAAAAGGATCAAAAAGATCAAGAGCAAGTCCTATCGCCGAATCCATCGAAAAGAGCGTGAAAAGATGGCACAATTGGAAAGGCAAGCGCTTATTGAAGCCGGTATTGATATCGATGCAGAAGAAAGAGAGCGGGCCGATCGAGCAAGAGCCGAAGCTAGGATGCGCTCCAAACACAAGGAGAGTAAATGGGCGAAGAGCATCAAGCAAACAGGTCGCGCTGCCTGGGATGAGGATGCCCGGCTTGGCATGGCAGAGCTGGCACGAAGGGAAGAGGAATTGCGGAGAAGAATTGAAGGAAAGAGCGTTAACAACGCGGATGAGGATTTCCTTGGTTCATCGAGCTCAGAGTCGGAGGATGAGCAGGACCCATGGGCCGAAGATAACCCAGAGGCTGAGACTCGAAAGCTCCGTCAAGAGCTCGACGCCCTCGAAAGGGAAGATGATGCGACAAACATAACTGGGCCACACTCGAAGCTCATGTCGATGAAGTTCATGCAAAATGCCGAAGCTGCCCGGAAATTGCAGAATGACGAGGAAATCAAGAAGCTCCGGCGAGAATTAGACGGCGATCATTCCGAACGTGAAGAAGAAGTCGAAGGCGGTCGCAAGAAATTCGGCGCCTCGAAAGCAGAGAGTTCTGACCAACCCGTTGTCTCGCGTCCAAAGAATGAGTTTGAAGAAGTTCCATCGTCCGAAGATGAAGAGCCGGGCATTCCCGAGTCGATTGCTCGTAAAGTTGAAACCGCCGCCAAACGTGCCGGTGATCAGAAAGCCAGGCCGGCCGCACAACCTACGATCTCAAGTGGCTCAAAGGCCACCATCGAGAAAGAAGACGATCCTCCAGAAGAGAATCCTTGGCTGACCCAAACCACACGAAACAACCGTAAACGCAGCGCGGTAAAGACTGATCAGTCCGTCAGTATCTCAGTGAACGGCCAAGGTCAGGTCTCCACCGTTGACCATAAAGCCGCTCCACCCAAGGACAGCTCACATGACGAGGCAACAACTCATCAACCTCATCAGAATGGCAATCAGGATGATGAGCCTAGTGACAGTGATGATGACGCTCACGCCCCAATCCTGCTGAAAAACCATGATCTTGTCAAGAAAGCGTTCGCTGGGGATGAGGTCGTCGCAGACTTCGAGAAGGAGAAGCTTGAAACCATTGAGGAAGAAGGGGACAAAGTCATCGACAACACGTTGCCGGGATGGGGTAGCTGGACCGGTGCAGGTATCAGCAAGAAGCAGCAGAAGCGTCAGAAACGCTTCCTCACCACCGTGGAGGGAGTGAAGCCTGAGCAGCGCAGGGACGCAAAACTTGACCGCGTTATCATCAATGAGAAGCGAATCAAAAAGGTAACATTCATATTCGCTCTGCTTTGTCACTCGATCTCAGAGACCCGGAAAAGGCTAACTTGTTCGTAGAACATCAAGTATCTCGCGACTCAGCTACCTCACCCATACGAATCAAAGCAGCAGTATGAGAGGTCTCTTCGTCTCCCTATAGGCCCCGAGTGGACCACCAAGGAAACCTTCCAGGACGCGACAAAGCCTCGTGTGATGATCAAGCAGGGTATCATCAAACCCCCGGAGAAGCCCTTGATCTAAACCAGGATTTTCTTCGTGTCATCGTTGAGCGATGACTGTTAGATGTAGACAGGATATGTTTTGACAGGACGTGTTATCGCCGATGCCTTATCAGGATGGGCTATACTTTGGGTTGGGTATCGAAAAAAAAATTATTTTGTGGTAGTTAGGTTACGAACACAAATTCAAATTCTTCCTCTTTTGAATTACAACATTATTCTGGTTCTTCTCAACCAGTCCGGTCCTTGTAGTCCACGGGAAGCTCGAATGTGACCATATCAGCCCCAGTCATATGCCAGTTCCAGCTGCACATGATTCGTGTTCCTCGATAGTAAGAGCTGACACTGAGGTAATTAGATACAAGTCTGGTTGGTCCATCTATCTTTTTAGATGGTACGATCTGCATCTAGAAGATTGCGTGCGATAATGGTTATTGGTTTCATTTCTGTCACGCCAACCTCGCGTGGCTATGGAATGTGACCATTGGAAACTTACTCCGTACAACTAACTTTCGATGCACAACATTTGTAACACGCCACTTAATGGTACACATGAACTTGCACAAGCTATGTTGGGACGGGAAAAACTACACAATGACATTTTTTTTTGTTACTCTTCCATCTTGCATGTCCCGCGGTAACCAGCATCATATTTGGATGATAGCGGACAGCGGGGTCTTACATGCCAAGGGCGGGCGGGAGAGCGGGGAGACACGGGCTCCGATTGGGCCAGGAACATACCTCGTGGTGGTCAAGCATTCATCGCATCCTGTTACTTGGAGCTTGTCTGCACAACAATGCTCTCCAGATGAGCAGTTTCAGCCTACCGCACCCTGCAGCTCTTCACCGATTGGCGTTTTGAGGGGTCACATCTTTCACTCATGGAAGGTTGAACAAACGCTGTGCGGGAAACGATCATCGCGCCTACCTGCACAAGGAATTCACCTCTCCAGCCTCTGGAAAGGATTTATACCTACGCCTTGTAAGCATTTTCATTTCCTTTGTGTCTTTCTAATCTGCATCTTGCACTTCTGCTCCAAGGTGGAAGATTCAGCCACGCTCCCTGGCATTCTCTGTCCTTCATTCTGCAAGATCTGAAGACCTCCTCTCTGCGTTCCAATGATCTGATATCAGATACACGATCTTTTTCAATTACATTACACATTCTGTCCTTATCGTTTCGTCTTTGTTCATCCTGTCCTTTCAATATGGAACGCCAGTTGGTTTGGCTTTCTACAGTCATACTAATGTGGTTCCAGGCAATCCAGGGTGCTTACGGCCTTCCACAATTTGGAAGCAAATCGTCGCAGGCAGCCCCAGCAGCAGGAACCACTTCATTCAAGACGCAGTATCCTCCAAATGCAGATAGGATTCTAACTCCTGCAACACAGGGGGTGAGTGTACCGTCCATGCTCCGGTGACGCCTGCTGATATAGGGTTTCAGGTTTATCACTTCAGCTTAGAACGTGACGGGCACCCATCGCTGCAACCATTCCCTACTGTCATCTCATATAAGACGCCAACTCCAGAGACAAATCCTTCAGGCACAGAAATTCATACGTCAAAGAGTCCTTTCAGTTCTGTGCCCCAGGTCGATAACCCGGATCCAGCTAGTTCAAGCGTGAGCCCAACGCTGCCGAGTTCTAGTTCAGACGCTGAAGGTCGTAAAGGGCCCGTTACACCTGTAGCTCTTTCGACCTCATACCCGGAGATTCCAGTGAAAGGCACAGATACACCTTCGACCATGGCCAGCCAGGATGTGTTTCAGCCGATCTCCTCGGATCCCATTCCAACGAACATTCAGTCTAGAGACGACCACCCGGTCCCCAAGTTGGGAATTGTAAGTGTTTGATTTTCTGTAAAGCTGTGTCATTTCTGACAGAATATGGATAGGTTAATGCCACCGGTCCCATTGCAACAAACAAATTCTACGCCGGATTTTTCTTGGGAAATCGGTCATGCGCGACGTTTACTCACCCCTATAGCATCTCGTGGGCTCAAGGAACAGGAAACGCGGGAAGCTGGGGTATAAGTGTCTCTCATATCGAAGCTGAACAGCTTGCCTTTGGTCAACCAAACCCGAAGATTCCCGGGAGCCCAGCGAGTAACTACATCAACCCAATCGGAATCCAGTCGTTGATCTTGTCGGCTACAGAATTGAGCAATTCCACAGTACTCAATGTTGAACAGCCAACCGCATTCTCGGCTCAGATCGTCCTGCGGCCCCAGAATGGATCCAGTCAGAGTATCACATTTCCCGTTGTCCAAGGTATGGGATACGTGACTGGAGTGTACAATGACTTGCAGCCAAATATCCAAAGCAGCATAGGCTTTCAAAAAGTGGTATCAGCAGGCTCTCCGCGACCCGGTGTCTTCAAATATCGGGTAACATTGGAGGACAATAAATCTTGGCTCGTGTATGTCATACCTGCCAATGGAACAGATCCTGACCTACGACTTGAGTCGAATACCCTTCTTTGTGGGCCTAGTGGCTTCTCAGGGATCGTTCAGGTTACCAAAAACCCTGCCGGCGATGCTGGCGAGAAATTCTTTGACAATTCTGCCGGTGTCTATCCCGTGACAGCAAATGTAACTGGATCGGTTTCAAACACCACCGGAACATACAGCTTCAACTGGGAGAAAGCTGGGAAGGATGCATCGAGTACTCCTCTCTTGATGTTTGCATTGCCACACCATGTCGAGTCATTTGACGACAACACAAGAGCTCGTCAGATTGCCCTTCAGCTTCGAACTACTACGAAGGGCAACGCCACCGCGGTGATAGGAGAGAGTTGGACTATGGTGGAACCGGATCTTCCAGTGGACATGGGGTTCGCACCCTGGTCTCCCACCCGTGGTAGTGTCACAAACTTTTCACCGGCTATACAACAAGTCATTCGTGATATCGCTCCCACCGAATTACAACAGGATATGGACGCCGAGACGAATCTCGATAGCATGTACTTCAGTGGCAAGGCATTGAGCAAATTTGCTACGCTGGTCTACACAGTCAACACGTTGGCGAATGACCCTCAATTGGCCGCTTCAGCCCTGAGTACTCTCAAGGCATGCTTTGCTCGATTCGTCACTAATCATCAAAAATGGCCCCTGGTCTATGACAATGTGTGGAAGGGGGTCGTATCTTCTGCCACTTACGCGACCAACGATTCCGGGGTCGACTTCGGCAATTCATACTACAATGATCACCACTTCCATTACGGATACTTCATCCACGCTGCCGCCATAATCGGCTCCCTCGACCCCAGCTGGATTGATGAGAACAAAGCCTGGGTTAATATGCTTGTGCGTGACGCTGGCAATTCCGCGGCCAACGATCCCTTGTTCCCGTTTTCTCGAGCGTTTGACTGGTTTCACGGGCACTCGTGGGCGAAGGGACTCTTCGCGTCCTGGGATGGCAAAGACCAAGAGTCCACGTCCGAAGATGCTATGTTTGCCTATGCAGTCAAGATGTGGGGCAACACCATCGGGGACAAGAGCATGGAAGCGCGAGGAAACCTCATGCTCGCGCTGCTCAAGCGATCTCTGCGCAATTACTTCCTGATGGAGAGCACAAACACCAACCAGCCGGCCCAGTTTACCGCCAATAAAGTGTCTGGCATTGTGAGTGCTTCATTTGATGCCTGCGTTTTCGACTCCGGCTAACGGTGGAACAGATGTTTGAAAACAAGGCGGACCATACCACCTACTTCGGGACTAATCTCGAGTATATCCAAGGGTATGCATATTCACCCCCTCCCCGTCCGTTGCCAATCTAGTGTTGGGAGCTAACTGAAGGGGCAGGATTCACATGTTGCCAATTCTCCCTTGTTCCGCTTACACAAGAAACCAGAAGTTCGTAACTGAGGAGTGGAATGCGATGTTCGCACCTAATGCTTCAGATCCTGCATCAACTGTGACGGGAGGCTGGAAAGGTATTCTCTATGCCAATCTGGCCATCATTGACCCAAAAACATCCTATCAGTTCTTCTCCCAACCCAACTTTGACTACAGCTGGATCGATGGCGGCGCCAGCCGGACCTGGTATCTAGCGTATGCGGCAGGTAAGTTCCACTCACTAATTCTTGTCGACCTGTCTGCTGAACACGACGTAGGTCTGGGTGGATCTCCCTGAAATGGGGGTAGAGCTAGTCACGCCTGCGCGGTGATTCACAGCTTCTTGAACATGTCTTTACAGCAGGTTTCTGCGGTTTGCATGGTCCTGCATCTGTATCTATTTTCGGTGTATATCATCGGATTTAGTTGCTATGTGTGGTACATATTTTTCATGATGTACAGGTGGCTATGGTGCTCAGGTCTCCCACGATAGTCTCTTTTATCATTGTTACCTGATTACTATCAAATCATGGAGGGATAGATTAAACAGAAAATAGATTCATCAGCAATCTGATACAGTGATCCTCCATATTGCAGCTCAAAAGATCAACAGTTCCACGAGATCGATATGATATGACGTCACTCCGACCAGCTCTGGTGGACTGGACGCCTGAAGCCACAGATGATTGTGCTGAGTCGTCACAGCATCAATGTTGGTGTATTCTGTAGGACAGCACGGCTAGATTCTGTGTTACAATCCACACAGCAAGTTGATGAATCAACGACTTACACTGTAGCTCCATGCGGTTAGGCCGCATCCGGCGCTTTCTGGCACGGGCCCGATGCTTGACCACGCCGATACGATAACGATGGGGCGGCAGAATAATCAGATAAGTTAGCGTCACGCGTTTCCCGATCGTTGTGGCAGTGCAAGCTTGGCATGTAGGAAAGCGAAACCTGATTTGCTACAGCTTGGCGACAGACAGGGACCATGGATGACGGGCATTTTTCTTCCAGTCTCTGGCGAGGGGGAAATGAAATTTGAGGGGCCGATCATCAATTATTCTGATGCATCCTGGAGACAGGATGCGTGGTTTTTACGCAAGTACATCAGAAGCTCCGACGCAAGGACCCATTTTCGTAAGCTCCCCTTAGTAAGTTCCGCCCGCTACCGCCGGGAACTTTGTGGCTCAAGCGAGCGAGACTACGACTCTTCCCCCTCCATCACCCTCTCTGTCCGACTGCAAGAAATGTCGACTCTCTCTGTTTGTGCTCAATTCGTTGTTCATTGACTCCTGTGTCTCGAAATTGCAGATTCTCATCATCTTCCACCAAGAGGCCAAGAGGTGAGTAGGTTCAATTTACTTGGTTGTACGCAATTGGTCTCCCCGGACAGCTAGGCTGGGCAAGGAGGCTGTGCACATACCTCGTCTTCCCCAACTTCACCCACGTTCAATTCCGGTCTGAATGGCCTTTACACCATGGTTCCCTGAGCTTGGGCATGGCATTGGCATCGCTTGACTTGCTCTGCCGGTAAAATACCAAGTTCTTACCGAGCTAAGCTGCCAATCCGCACCCCACGCGATCACGTTGCTGTCTTTTTTCCTGCGTGGCTCGAACATCCAGCAGGGTTCTTGTCTTCGTCTCCGCTGGATAGGTCAGGCCTCATTTTTGGGCGCGTGTAGAAATTGATCTGGAACTCAACCCTAACTGTTAATTGGCTTGCTTGGCTTCCAGTGGACGAGGGAATTCTGGTGCTGACCACTCAATGACCTTGCAGTGTTGAGCCTTGGCCAGCAAAAACGAAGATCGTTAATTAAAGATTTTTTTGTAGGATTGGCAGGAGACTCGTCTTAAACTCGCCCGTCATTATTGATACGCCTCAGTAGGATCGACGAACCGTGGAAACAATCCCGAAGGACGTGTGGCTTGACCTTGTCATTTCCCTCTCTGATAGTGGTAGCTCCACACGCCTTCTCCAGCATCTTTCCTTGCTACTGTACAACTCGATACTGCTATAGCCAATCTCTTAGCCTCTGGACGGGACTGCTCGGCCTCCGCAAATGGGTAGGTGCCGCGTTGCTCCTGCTGCTTCATCCGCTCTTTCTCCCCTCATTCTCTCTCACATCATCTCTCTCTGTCCTCGTTGCATGTGACTCTCGCATTCCATCTCGTCAAGCCCTCTTTTCTCTCTTCTGTACCCAAAATCGTCAGCACTGGAAAATTCTGGCTTGAAGATCCATGTTTGATTCTCCAATGCGCCGGGCCAGCGCCAGAAGCTCAAGTATACGTTGCTGACGTTTGGGACCATTTCCCGCACCATACAGCCCCAAAAAATATTTTCAAGGCTTTCCGAAGTTACAGTTTTGGGAGAGACGCCAGGATGACTGGAAACGGCTCAGCGGAACCCCATGAACGGACGTCATTGCTCGGCCAGGAGCGAAACCGCCGCGAAGGGATCTTGACAACGGAGGCCCCGTGGTTGAAAAACACTCGCATCTGGCTTCGATGGCCTCTGCGGACCGTTCACTTGACATGGGCGACCCTCATCAGCAACTATGTCAATGTCCTCCTGGTCTTTGTGCCTTTTGGAATCGTTGCCGGTGCTCTTCGATGGAACGACGCCACCGTTTTCATCCTGAACTTCTTCGCGATTATCCCGCTCGCATCGCTCCTCAGCTTCGCGACGGAGGAACTGGCAGCGACAATGGGTCAGACCTTGGGCGGCTTGATGAATGCGACGTTCGGTAACGCTGTTGAGTTGATTGTATGTCTTCCGCACGTTCTTTTCAGATGTTCCGGCCATAGTTGACATTCCATTTTCCCGTGTGCAGGTCAGCATTATAGCTTTGAAAGACCACGAAATCCGCGTCGTCCAGGCGAGCATGCTAGGCAGTATCCTTTCCAACATCTTACTTGTTTTGGGTTGCTGCTTTTTCGTTGGAGGCCTTCGATATCATGAGCAGTGCTTCAACTCGACAGTCGCCTCGACCATGTCTTCATTGATGGCTGTAGCTTCCGCATCCTTGATTATCCCGGCAACCCTTTTTGCGGCCCTATCGAAGTCCTTTAAATCTGATCCGGAAACGACCAAGAACCACATCCTATTTATCTCACGCGGAACAGCAATCATCCTCCTCGTTCTCTACCTGATGTACCTGTACTTTCAATTGAAATCCCATTCTGACCTTTTCGAGGATTCCGGAAGTGCCGAAAATCAAGAAGAGGTGACGGAAGAGGAACATCTGCTCAACCCTTTCGCCGCAGGTGTTGCCTTGGTCGTCGTGACCATTCTTGTTGCAATCTGCGCAGAATATCTCGTTGGAAGCATTGAAGGCATCGTGGAAAAAACCGGAATGAGCAAGACCTTCATCGGTCTGGTGCTCATCCCTATCGTTGGTAACGCTGCTGAACATGTGACTGCGGTTCTAGTCGCCTACAAGAACAAGATGGATCTCGCCATCGGTGTCGCGATCGGAAGTAGTCTACAGATTGCGCTTTTTGTCACCCCGTTCCTGGTGATTCTGGGCTGGATCATGGGCGAAAATATGACACTGCACTTTCAGATTTTCGAAACCGTGGCCTTCTTTATATCGGGCCTCGTAGTCACCCTCCTCATTCAGGATGGAAAGTCGAATTACCTGGAAGGAGGCCTTTGCCTGGGAATGTACGTGGCCTAGTCCTCTGCCGTCTTTGTGGTCTTGCGCTGACTTTGAATTCGTAACCAGGTATATCATTCTCGCCATTGCCTTCTATGTCTATCCTGATGATGTCGCTCAATAATTGAGTCTCTCTGCCGTCCTCTTCGACACGGAAGAGAAATTCGTGCAGTCACAACGGGTCTGCTGGAACAGGCTTCTTAGAATTCAAGCTAAGAAGTTCCACATGGTCATCAAATAAACTCTCCTTTATTTCCTTTTTTGTACAATCTGTTGCACTGTACTTTTTTGACTCTTAGGGGAAACTATTGATATCAGAGTCCATATCACCGATGCCACGGTGCGTGTTTTTTATACTTGGCAGCTGTCGCGGCCATATCCAGTGCCGGCCGTGCAAATATATCTTGCTGTTCGGTATCGGGGTCATTATTTTGGGATGTCGGGTTTGGGGAATTTTCAGTGCTTTCTGTATTCGTGGGCGGGATCGTGTGAAAAAGCAATCAAATTGACAGTAAATTCTGTAACCTAGCAATACCCTTGTGACTTTATCTGGTTGAAAATGTTGCCTGTTTACTTGAAAGACTTGAATGTAGCCGGGGACTGTTCGTCGAGATTTCTGGCCGCTTACCTAGTCAAGGAGAAGGAAATAAATTGTGGACATTATCTGTTTCTAAGTTCAGAAGTCTATAATTGCAAGGTTCGTCTACGTTATTTGCATTGAATAGTAGTAGGTAGAATGTGCATGTGCTTTTGGAGAACAGCATCGTGGGCAGTATCGATGACTAAGCACCGTGCGGAACGGAAAATCGTTTGATCTCGGCGACGAAACTTTGGCAGGGAAGCGGAATCAATCAATGTCGGAGATCAAAGTCGCGATCACACACCAACCTCCTGTTCGCCTCAGTTACGACTCGACTTAACGGGGATTAGGAATTGCCTTTTCCTATCCGATTCCCAGCAGCAGTTTGCTGGGTTGGTCCGAATTGACCATGCCTCCCCGGCTCAATCTCTTCACAGCACGAAACGCTGTTTCCATCCTCCGCCAACCGTACTCGTCCTCGTTTGCCGCTTCTTCGCAGAAAAATGGCGCTTCGTCCGTCAGGTGTCAGCATGTTATATCCTCTAGCCTGGGTGTGAGGGCCAGTCCAACCTCCGCACATCTGCAGCGGAGGATGAACTCGTCCATTTCGGGCGGGAAAGGCAAAGCAGAACTCCCGGAAGAGCCAGTGCAGCCAAGGGGCCCGAACCAGGACCAATTGCCTCATGTGAGTGAGGAGGCTGCCGCGATTGACAAGATCATGCACACAAAGAAATGTGACGGCGGTGCTCCCGGGACCCCAGAACTCGAACACGGTACTCCGGTCGACGAGGTCGGTCAATAAATAATTCTCTACTTGCATTGAGCTGCTTGTAATGGCACTGGACCGCTGACGATTTATTCCCATAGATCCTTCGACGTGACAAGGACGCCTTGAAATATGCTCCGAAGGTCCTCCAAGATCAGTGGTCCGCCGCGAAAGGCGCTCGTTCGTACTCGACGTCTGCGAGACTCAGACAACAGGAATTACAGCAACAGGAATTACAGACTACTACAACAGAGAGCCAGGAGGACCCATCGGTCACTGCGGTTGCCAATATGATCTCCCGTGCCACAGAAGAGGCGGTTGAGCGAGAAACGGGGCTGAAGTTTCAAATGCCCCCGCTGCCATTGCCTAAAACAGAGCATGTGAAGCATCGGTACGATCCGTTGGTGGACCAGTTCACCAAACTGCTCATGAAGGATGGGAAATTGAGTATTGCCCAGAAGGTATGCAGGCTGTCGCTTCCTTGACTTTTCGCTAGGCTTGTACGTCTGGAGTATCTAACTGACCTCCAACAGAACATGGCGTTTATCCTTGACCAACTTCGCACTGCACCACCGCCTCAGATCAACCCGAAACGCCGTCTCCTTACTTCCCTGCCGGCTCCCCAACTTCCTCTGAATCCCGTTCTCTACCTTACAGTCATTGTGGACTCTGTTGCTCCTCTGATCAGAATCCGAAATCAGAAAGGTATTGCTGGTGGTGGTGCAGCTATCCAGGTTCCAGTGCCTTTGGCGATGCGTCAGAGACGCCGCCACGCTATCCGATGGATCATCGATGCGTCTGACCGACGACGGGACAGCAAGTTTGCTCAGCGAGTGGCTAACGAGCTCATAGCTGTCGCTGAGGGTCGGAGCAGCGTATGGGACAAGAGGGAGCAGGTGCACAAGATCGGTATTGCCGGCCGCTCCAACCTGAAGCTGGTTGCTCCTGGCCGGTGAAGGGACCAATCGATAGTATATGGATGCCTTTGTGTTATTCTTAGCATATACATGTACAGTATAACCTCGTATTTTCTTTTCTTATTTGTTTTCGTCTCATTTCTTTCCTCCAACGATCATTCGCAATTCTCTTGGTCCTGCTGGTAATGCCTCTGTAGTGAATGGCAATATGAAGTAGTTCTTCAACACTCGCAAGTATCTAGCTGCAAAAGACGTCTTTCATGTAGTTGTAAATGGATCTAGATCATCATGCCAAATGCGATCGTCCTGCCCCGCCGGTCAGCATAGTTCGGCGCTCGTCCGATGTGCATGCAAGTGTGATTTGGCGGTCTGCCGCCGCAGCCGCAGCCCAGACTCGCAATTCCGGCGACGACGGGTTTGCTGCTGTACAACAGGGCAGCCTATCATTCGTCGACAAGACATCATCTGCTTGAGCTAATTCGTGACAGAATCCCTCTTGTTATCTTGTGCGACCAGGGGTGTCTCTCTCTCTCTCATTTTTAATGCTGCGCGAAGACCGCTGCCTGCTCCCTCAGTCTCGCCTCTCGGACTCCTCGCAGCAAGGACAAGTTCGCGGCCGTGGCTCCTTTACCGGCAGCATCATCCCAGAGCATCGAACTCGTCGATCTCGAGTCCGTCCCGCCCGCTGACCAGCCCCGTGGGCACCCTTCATCCCGTTTCCCGGCCGCGGGCGGTGGTGGTGGTACAGCTGATCGGGCCACTGCGCATCGTGTCACAAAACGTGGAATTGGCGGGGGAGACGGTGGTGGTCGCCAGACGTGGCCAGACAGGGAGGAGAAGGACGAGAAGGAGGCTACCTGCAAAGAGTCGGGCGATAAGGGAACGAGTCGAGTCACCGGTGGTGGTGGAAGAACTGGCCTCAGAAGACATATACTCTGGGCCGAAGCTCTCAAACGCTGGCCTCGACTGACGAACGAGGACGAAGCCAACATGAAGTTCTCCCACAGCATCCAATTCAATGCGGTCCCGGATTGGAGTGCGCATTATATCGCCTACGATAATCTTAAGAAATTGTACGTAACGTTACACCCGCTTCCGCGATAACCCGCACCCGTCTAAGACATCTGCTCACCCGTTCTTCTATACAGAATATATAGCCTTGAGAAGCAGGTCAATCTCCCTGACGGCCATGGCGCCGCAGACGGAGAGTCTGCCCCGCTGCTGGAGGCAACTGTCGATACCGATGCGATCTTCCGGCGGGCGCTGGATGCGGAGCTGGAGAAGATCTGCTCCTTCTACCAGGTCAAGGAACTCGCTATCTTCGGCGAGGTCGAGGACGTCGTGAAGGAGGAGAGTGAATATACGCTCAGCACCGATGGCGTCAATATGGATCCCGTGAGCGAGACCGTGATCAAGACGCGGACGTTGAGCTTTGGGTCCCGGAGGCGTCCAGGAAGCATCTTGCACTCGCTGGGATTGAGGCGCGGTCGACGGGAAAGCGTCGTCAGCGGCTCTGCTGCTGAAGATGGTGAGGAAGACGACGACGGCGACGGCGACGGCGACGGTGACAGTGATGATGATTCGCACACGGAGGGAACGCATCGCCGAGGGTCACGATCCCATCAGGACCGGTCTGAAGGGAATCCAAGCGAGTTGGGCGACTCGCGGCTCTGGGGCAATGGGAGTAGTCGGCCGGCAACCCATGATGAGCACTTTGCAGATCCCCGGTTTCTGGATCTGTATAATGCCGGCGTCGCATTGAAAAGACGGGCGATCAGTGTCTACGTCTCTCTCTGCGAGCTGAAGTCCTACATCCAGCTCAACAAGACGGGCTTTTCCAAGGCGCTGAAGAAGTATGACAAGATTCTGGATCGAAGCTTGCGACGCCCCTACATGAGCGGGACAGTCTCCCCTGCTTACCCTTTTACGGACTCGACAATGCAGCGTGTGGACGAAAACATCTCCCGAATTGAACAGGTCTACGCGGATGTCGTCACAAAGGGGAATCTCTCCCTCGCGAGAAGGGAGCTGCGGCTACATCTCCGCGAGCATGTTGTGTGGGAGCGCAACACAGTCTGGAGAGAGATGATCGGCATTGAGAGAAAGGCACAGGCAGCTAACATGGGAGTCCGTCGGACTCTGCTGGGCGGCGACCACGATCCCTCGACCGCACAGCGCCAAGGCGATGAGGAGGTCAAAGTCAAAGCGAAAGAGATCACCACTCCCTTGGGTCGATTCTCTGTCCCGGAGTGGCTGTTCAGCTTGTCGTTTCTTTTGCTGGTGGCCATCGTCATCACATTCGGGGTTTTGCTTTCTGTGCCCATTATGGAAAAACCCGAGCAGCAGAATTGCCTGGCAATGCTGGTTTTTGTGAGCTTGTTGTGGGCTACCGAGGTAAGAGATTTCCCTGCATGTACTGTACATATATGTACGGATTTCCACTGAGACAGACTGCCAGGTTATTCCACTATTTGTGACGTCCCTGCTCGTTCCTTTCCTGGTGGTGGTGCTGCAGATTATGCGATCGGATGACCAGCCTCACACGCGCTTGGACCCGGAGACGGCGACCAAGGTCGTGTTCGCGTCGATGTGGACGCCAGTCATCATGCTCCTTCTGGGCGGATTTACGATTGCGGCGGCGTTATCCAAGTATGACATTGCGCGTCGGATGGCCACTTTTGTCCTGAGCAAAGCTGGGACGAGTCCGCGGGTCGTTCTGGTCACGAACATGTTTGTCAGCATGTTTTTGAGTATGTGGATCAGCAATGTGGCTGCTCCAGTGCTGTGTTATTCAATTATCCAGGTACGCCTCCCCCTTTTATTCTTGAGTTACCTGCTAATGATGACAGCCACTCCTGCGGAATCTCCCACCCGAGTCGAACTTCTCGAAAGCGCTGGTCTTGGGAATCGCCCTGGCGGCTAATATCGGAGGCGCAGCGTCACCGATTGCATCGCCTCAGAACATTATTGCCCTCGAGACATGTACCCGAGCATCAGCTGGGGGACGTGGTTCTTCGTCGCTCTACCGGTTTGCATTATTTCGATTCTTCTCATTTGGGCACTGTTGCTGGTCACTTTCCAGCCCAGCCGGGGGACTACGATTGTGCCCATTCGACCTGTCAAAGACCGGTTTTCCGGAGTGCAGTGGTTTGTCTCTCTCGTCACGTTGGTGACGATCGGCTTGTGGTGCGTGAGCCATCAGCTCCAGGATACGTTTGGCGACATGGGAGTGATTGCGGTCATTCCGATGGTGCTTTTCTTCGGCACGGGCATCCTGACCAAGGAGGACTTTAACAACTTCCTGTGGACGATCATCATCCTCGCCGCGGGGGGTCTGTGTCTCGGTAAAGCGGTGACGTCGTCGGGTCTGTTGCACACGATCGCCAAGGCCATCACGGAAGAGGTGGCCGACTTCAGCCTGTATGGGGTGTTGATCGTGTTCGCGGGACTGATCCTGGTGATTGCGACGTTTATCTCGCATACAGTGGCGGCCTTGATCATCCTTCCTCTGGTGCAGCAGGTTGGTCTGGGCATGGAACATCCTCACCCGAACCTGCTGGTGATGGCCAGCGCGCTGATGTGCTCTGTGGCGATGGGGCTGCCTACGAGTGGTTTTCCCAACATGAGTAAGTTTGCATCCTCGTCCACTTATTCATTGTATCAACGGACCCGTGCTAATCATATTCTTTACTTTACAGCCGCTATTATGATGGAGATTCCCAACACGGGCCAGCGCTACCTCCGAGTCAGCCATTTCCTGACTCGGGGCATTCCAGCGAGTTTTATCTCCTTTGTCGTCGTCGTCACTGTAGGCTATGGGCTGATGCGTGTTGCTGGTCTTTGATGTCGTTTTATTATCGTATAGTATACAGTTGACGTCTTTTTATAAAGATAAAGGTTCCCTTGGTTTTTTTTTTTAGAGGTGTGGTGTGGTGTGGTGTGGTCCTGTGCATACATAGATCCGGACGTACGTATGTACAATACTTACGTACTTAGAAGTATACTTATGTGTGATGATTCCTAGAATTTTTAGATTTAGATAGCTTTTTCACCTCTTCTCCTGTATCTTTCTATTTTCCTTGTTTTATTCTTATTATCATCAGGCCACAGTTGACTATGCACAGTCAAGTCGATGTCGAGTCTATGTCTCGGATATTTATTTTTTTTGCATATATCCTCCCGAAATAGATATACATACATCCTTTCATGAACGAATATAATGAAGAACGAACTTCGGTAATCTATCTACACAGATTCAATCATTCAACAGTACTGGACGTAGGTTAAAAAGGAAAAAAGATGAGGAGGAGGGTGAAAGAAAAATAACCTATAGTGACTACACACGACTAGTGTGATAGATACGGACATCGAAAAATTAAAAGTCAAAAAAAGCAAGCAAGAGTACAAGTACATGTACGGAAAAAAGAAATCGCAGCTGTTGATCAGCTGCTGTGTTGTTTTGTGTTGTTCTATGACCGACGCAGGACTCGAACCTGCAACCTCCTGATCCGTAGTCAGGTGCCCTACCAATTGAGCCAGCCGGCCCGAACTTGTTGGAGGGGGCGGGTTGTGAACGACTTTTATGGCGACGGAGATAAGAAAAGAGTGGCGTGATTGGGAAAAAAATAAATTTTTTTGTGCTGGGTAACTTAGGGCGTATGTTTGGATCGGTTCTGTGGATAGGTTATTGTTTAGTGGAGGAGAGGGGAGTGGTGATTGGTTGGACCAACCAGATCTGGTTTTTTCTTCTTGCCTACCTGGGATACCTCTCCGAGAAGAGTATGGAGGTATGTACTGTACATCCTCTGTGATGAATATTATTGGTCTTGGGATGATATACCTACCTAGACTGCGACTCGAGCAAACTTCGAGGATGATTGGTCAGTCATCACTCATCAGTGGGATTAATATTAGCCTATCATCACTTCTCTCTTCCTTCATTAAGAAAACCGTCGACCTCCATTGTTACATTTGATATACACACTTTTACGCGCTTTTTCTTTTCTCTTTTTCATTTTCTTTTGCAGATATTACCTAGTAGGCAAGAATAATGTTATTAGTAAGGAAGGGATATGGCGAGAATTACGGGTCGATGTTGATGTTGCAGATGGCTGGGGATAATTTTGGTGAGTTTCATTTACTGCTCTGCACGTCATTGCAAGATCTGTGTTGAATTTTTATTATTTACTTGTTTATGCGCTCTTAGGTCTCGAGGGACCTGATCCAACAATCCTACACGACCTGACTGAATTGGGTTCGGTCGCTTCAAACGAGATATCGCATCAGTCATACTACTGGCTACTAACGTGATAATTCTAAGTAATGATTTGATTTTTATTATCATTTATAGCTTCGATTTATGTCATCAAGGTATCGTGTCGCTTTAGACTTTATCTTGTTACCCATGTTCAGCACTCATACTCTGTTCTACGCTACGCAGCTTTATCTAGATCACTGCCTTCGTCTATTTTTTTTCAGTAGCAGAAAGTTCTCTCCTGGAAGAATCAAGAGGAGAAAAAAAATCCCTCTCTAGTTCCAACTCTAAGAATAATAATCCTGTGCCAGCTAAGATAGAATACCGGATTGAATGCCATCACGTCGTTAGTTCATGATATACCAGGGTATACAGGACAGCAATCCTCAGCCTTTCCAAATATATGTAAATGCAATTATCCAATGGGCAGATCATCAATTGATCATTGCAGAGGTGATATCGCTGATGTAGTAGAAATTTCTGTCAAGATAACGTTACACTGTCGACTTCTGCCGCTTTCGTCGTCGCCGTCGCAGGCGGCAGATCAATATCCACTACCCACGGCGCATTCGTCGGCACATAGTTGACGGTGACGACGCTGGCGTTGACGAAGAGCGTCTCCTCGCCGTAGCGCAGCGGGCGCTTGCCGTCGCTGCTGGCGTTGTAGTAGCACGACCGGTTCTCGAGCACCGTCTCTGGGTCCTGCAGGATCCGCTCCGACGTGTTGTTCGTCCAGTCCTGCCGCACGGCGCCATAGCCCTCGTGGATGTGGCCGAAGACGTGCAGCCGGGGGCGCGCCCGTTTACACGCCTTCAGCAGGTTCTCGCACCCGACGCTCTGGTTCGAGTAGTATACCTGGTCGAGGATCCCGTAGGGCGGACCGTGCGTCAACAGTATGTCCACGTCCGGGTAGGAAGGCACCGGGTTAGGCGCCTGAAACGGCGAGACTGGCGGCGAGGGATTGAACCGGTCGACGCGGCGTTCGTATGCAAACGCCCACTGGCAGAACTCAGGCTGGTAGGGGGAGGCGTACAGCGTGAACTGGGCGCCGTTGGAGAGGGTGAATGTCCTGACGCCTTCGTCCATGTAGACGATGCCCGCCTTGCGCGCGTCTTCCCCAACCCAGAGCTCGCGGATCTCCGCCGGGTCCTCAAGCGGTCCTGTCCGATGCCTCGTGCGGCCCATCCGGGCGTAGTATTCGGCGTCGAGCGTGATGTCGTGGTTGCCGGCGATGACGATCTTGAGCTCTGCTTCGGCCTCCTTCAGCATGGCCACCATGGCCTCGTGCTCGATCTTGTGCCCGACCTTGGTGATGTCGCCGGCATGCAGGAGCACGTCCGCTTTGGGGAGTGGATGGCGGTAAGGATTGGATGTGTCGGTGGGGGGATTGGGCCGGCAGGTGTGAGTGTCAGAGATCATGCAGATGCGCGTCTTGATTCCTTTCTGCGTGTTGTCTCGGTTCATTGTGTTTATGTCCTCTATAACTGTCTGTATGGGGAGGATGAACGACGAGGATGTTGTTCCAGGAATTGAAACGTGCAGGCAATGTACACACACTTGCTGATGTTGCTTCACCAGTCGAATCCTGAATTCATTTCATAAGACAGACTCTATGACTCGATAGACTTGATGACTGTGTTGAATTGTTGAATTCACGAGGTGAGAATGTTCCTATTCTTATCTAATCGGCTATCTTGTAGCCTGACCCACTCACGTCATTGGCACAGGGAACGTGACGAACTGCATATGGTCAAGCATTATTCAACTCCACCAAAATCAAAACACTGAATTTAATTTCTAGATACATATTCATCTGCCCAATATTTGTCTTTTTTTTTATTTGAGATCTCAATTTCCAGAATCCCATGAGTTGGGTATTATAGAGGAACAATTTCGTACCATTCTGACTAGAATTTTAACTCCATTAACAAATGTTTTCTAGATACCTAGGTCAGAATTTCTCCTACAAAGTCTCTTGATCATTTCTATATACCACTTGAGATTCAGCAGTTGACCGATAACTACCGGGCTTCATTAAATGTTAGTAGATTAATAATGGAAAAAAAAGAGAGCAGTTGTCTTCCGTGATGGATTGATAGTATTCTGCTCCTCGCCTGAATTGATCAATAGTAGTAATATGATGAATTATAATTATAATAATAAGCAGTTCAGTGCTGAATCCATCTATGGATCTGATCTGACTCGAAGCATATACCCGCATGCGTCATTTGCATATGAAGATTTTCTTCCCAGGCACATACGTATCCTAAAGCAGTGATTATTATTATCCCGAGTCACTTGTGTGCATAGAAAAGGAAGGTAATTAATATCAGCTAGAGAACAATAACAATCAATGACGCTCGTGATTGATCATGGATAGAAGTACTGTACTCTGTACTACTTACTACTTACTGTATGTACTGCTCTAGTCTACGACAAGGCACTGACTTGATCTAGAAATGGGATTATTAGAGTCGACCTGGGAGTATCTGTATGTATTAAGTTTTATTTATTTTGTCTGTACCCAGTCAAGATCCTCTCTTCTTCTCTCTCTCAGCTGTCAAGGAAGAAAAGACCTCACGCCCATTTCTCCTTCCTTCCTCAGCTGGATAACCGACAGACAGGACCCTGGTGACAAAAATAACGAATCATCCGATTTGGTTGTTGTTGTTAGACAATTCAGAGCTCTTCTTCTACAGACATTTTTGCATCCGTGGATGATGCCCAGAATCATTCATAAACATGATTTGATTTGATTTGATTGATGCTGGCAAAAGGATTTGCTGAAAAACTCCGAATACCACCCAGTTTGCCCCGTCGTCGGCCCGTGAAAACCTTCAACAGAATATTTTTTTATATTGTTTGGAAAGAGTTTCCTTTTTTTTCTATTTTTTACTTCCTGATCGCACGCAGGTAGAATGCCAACTCCTCACCCTCCAGAATGTACCCGTCCACACGACCGCTCTGGCCGGGGCGCGACGACACGATGGCGTACAGACGACCGGCCTCAAACTGTCTCTCCAGGGCGGGCTCGACCTTGCCGTGGGCGGCGAACCGGGCAGCCTGCTTCTTCTGCACGCTGTTGCTCTTCTTCCCACCCTCAGTCGTCTCGGCACCAGCCTTCTGCTGGCGCCTCCGGCCCAGCGGCTGGCCGTAGTGAGCCTCGTACCATTGTCTGAAGGGAGCAGCGTCGATCTGGACGACGGCGGACTTGGTCAGGGTGTTGGTGCGGACCAGTTCGTTGTTGGACGGGTGGTAGACGACCACGATCACACGGGTCTTGCGCGAGATGCCTTCGGAGCCCCAGGAGAAGTTACCCGAGTCGAGACGGAGGGCACGGTACTTGGTGTTACCACCACGGGTGCGGACAAGGTGGATTCGCTTGGGGCCAATACGGGTGTTGGCGGGCTGGCGACCCTTCTCGAAAGCCCTGCAGACATAGACCGTAAGAAACCAATCCGCTGGAATGTGCCTGTTTTTCTCTCTCGCGCATACCTCTTCTTGCGGTAGAAGGCTCTCTTCGCACCGGTAGCCGAGCGCTTGTGACGGGAATCACGAGAAATACCCATGTTGGCGGTTTATGGATTGGACCACTAGACGAGCAATTGTCAGACGCGAGGTTCGAATTTCGAACAATTCACGGCACGATATAAGAGACACAGAGGAGGGGGAAGGAGTCGGTCGCGGGGGACGTCTTTTTTTCCTGGAGGATGTTGTTCCACAGTCTGCCACCTCCAGACGAATCCCAATTTCCCGAAATGCAACACAAACAAGCCAAGGAGAAGAAGCGGGAGAAACTGACCTCGTATCCTGTAGTCCCTCACCAGAACAGCGCGACGGGCAAGAGTGGGTGGTTGTCGAGTCGAGTTGTTGGAGTTGCTTGTCGCCGGCGGTCGTGAATTTCGCAGTGTGGCTCGCTTGTCGAAATTGCCCTACCCCAAAGTGCGCGCTAGTCCCGGACGGGTTAGCGCACGACGGCCGCCAGCCGAGCGTCGCCCGCGCTAGCATCGCTGCATTGCATTAATTTCTACTAATTACGCTGCAATCCTCTAATGAATTAATAAATTAATTCTAGTTAAGTGAGACTGCATGCTGATTCTACAGACAATTACTTCATATCATACCATGCAGACAGATCGGAATGATTTTTTATCTTCTTGGCCTCCCAACGGACGGAGCGGTAACGCTCCCGATCGGTGTATCTAACGCTAACACTCAACTGCCTATGCCTATCTAGACTGCTGAATTCACAGAATACGATGCCATTGAATTGCTCATTGCTCTAAGTGGGCCTGTGCTTTTTCTGTCTGTCCCTCTCCTCGCGCACAAGGGCGTCGAATCTCATCAAAGCCCCGACTCCCTCGATGAAATCGTCGACGACCCAGGCCCACCACAGCCAGGAGAACAAGGGCACGCGGTGTGGCCGCAGCCGCTTGATAGCGAGGTGGATTGCCTCAGCAAGGTGGATCGCCGTCATGGTCGTTATCAGAAGAGGCTGGATCGTGTAGCAGAAAGCGGCGAAGCGTGGCACGTGGCTGAGCGCGACGGAGTAGAGCGTCGACCCGGGCAGGAAGTTGCTGCGTCGCGAGAACGCAATAAAGGTCGCCAGGCAGACGGTGAACAGGACCGCGTGGGATCCCGTCGGAGGCCGGTACTCCCTGACGACGATGTCGGAGAGGCCCAGCGTCTGAAGGCAGTGATCGCGCATGTCGATGACTCGTTGCCGGACGTCGTCGAGCGACGAGAGCGGCGGCTCGAACGGAATCCGATAGCGCGTGCGGTTGGCGCGGATGACCAGCTCAGAGAGGCTGACGTCTTCCATCTGGGCAGACTGTGCTGCGCTGCGGGGAACGAGACAGTAGACTTCCAGGAACAGGGGCAGCAAGTCCTGGTGGTCTGCATTCATGTGGTCGACGATGCGCTTTCTGCGGTCGGCCATGTCGGATAAGACGTATTTGTATAACGAAACCCTCAATGAAATAACTGTAATGGAGCACAACAACAGGTGAAAGTACCTGTAATTAATTAAATAAGAACAAGACCCGACCAGTTGGGTTTGTTGTGTCCAACATAAGCCCGAAGTACAGTACATAAACTTGCAACCTCTCGGATCAACTGCTGTTCTCCCTCCGTACGGAGAAAAATCACGCCAAGCCATTCATCCTCACCTTATAAGGTAAGGTGCAGAGGACGGGCTTAGCAGCTACTCTGACATAGTGTACGCAACTTAGGTAAATTCACCAAAATTGTTTCCAGCTTTAAAGCACGTCAATAATACTATATATATACGGATGTAGCAATCAATAAGTCAATAGGCGATAAGATGCTATAACCAGCTAGGTACCTAGGTAGTTAGTTAAAAAGAGAAACAAACAAACAAAAACGACAAAGTCACTAAAAAAAAGGCACAGCACACAGTATACAGCAGCAGTCAGTTCCAATTCCAAGTTTCACCCTACCTACCCTATTTATTTAATTTAATTTATTATTTATTCTTAATAAGATACTTTCCACCCCTACCACCCACCACCTACCACCACCCTACTCCGTACGAGGGGTGATTATCCCAAATGATCTAGACAAAAAAACAGGATGAGAAACAACAAGAAGGAAAAGAAAGAAACAAAGGGAATGACGGATATGGACACTTCTCAGAAATAGAAAACTGTACAGTACATGCTAAAGGGAAAAGAAAGAAAGAAAGTCATGAGCTGGCAAGCAAGGAAGATGAAAAAAAAGGTATCAATCAAGGTATCCACATGTCGAAAGTCCGAATGGACGAAGAAAAAAGAAAAAAATCTACTTAGGAAAACATCTTGAGAAAAAGGGAAATAGAGAAAAGGAAAACATAACCGACGTGTAGTATAAGTAATCCGTATCTCGCCGCGACACCGGAGAGACGGGTATCAAAATAAAAAAAATAACCATATGTCAGACATAAATCGAAAAATAAGGAAAGGTATGCGGATAAGGGTCGAAAATGTTAGTCGAAAAAAAAGGTGAAGTTCATTCTTCATGGAGGGTTTCTGCAATCGCGCCTCCACTTCCATTATTACCCCCATCTCTCACGTTGAGGCGGCTGGCTTTCCTCCCCACGGCTTTCAGCAGGCTGAATCGTTTCATGACCGAGTCTCGAACGCCGCCATTCGAAGTATGGCTCTCGCTGTTGCTCGTCGGCGAGACTGTCACGCCCGCTCCGTCTTTTGTTGCATATCCAGAGCTCCCCGACGTCGCAGGTCGCTCGGAATGCGACGCTGCAGGTAGCGCAGTTTTACCGGCACTCAAATCAGAGCCAGCTATCGAAGGCATGCTCTTCTTTGACGCAAGGTCATGATTCACCGCGTGGGAGCGACTAGCCTCGTCCTGCGACTTCGTTGTTGTGCTTCGCGTTCGGGAATGGATCGAGGCCGAAGCATCCGCGTGACCATCAGCCATAGATGTCGAGGACTTGTGTCTCTGTAACTTCTCCCCGCCAAACCAGCTCCTTCGCTTTTCGCTCCTGCCTCCCCGCGACCGGTTGGTGGTCCGAGAGTGGACGGTCGCAGTATCGTCATCTTGCCGAGTTGAGACGCTGTGCTGATCCATAGACTTCCGCTTGGCCTTTACTTCAGACTGATGTTTCGCGTCAGCCGATCCTTGGACAGTAGTCGCTGTTGCAGTAGAACCAGTGGCTCCATGGTTGGAACGCTTAAAAGGATTGACGATGCTAATACGACGACCGATGGAGGGTTTTGCAGACGTGTGCTTACGATTGTTTTCTGAGCGAGAGGCGCGGATGAGCTCCTGTTCCGGGCTGGTAGACCGTGCTGCTAGGCTGGATTCCTCTCGGCGATGGACGCCGTTGGCCACAGGCGAAGATCGGCTACCAAGCCGAGGCAACAAATCCTGGGAAGACTGCTGCGTCGTCGGGGGATGAACCGAGAGTGACGCCAGTTCCGGACCAAAGGCATCTTCAAAGCGGTGCATGAACTCGGCTTGCAAGGCTTGCTGGGCGGGTCGAGAATACAAAGCCAGACAATGCTTGATCGCCAGCGCATGGTCAATCAGAGCCACCGCAAGGGCGTTCTCCAGAGGATCAACCGGCTTCGGCTCTGCTTCCTCCCCTTCTTCCTCCTCAGGCAGCTCATCCTTAGGCTCTTGCGTCAGGAATTGGCGGTAGAGGGCTACGCAGCTAGACGGTGCCGATCCAAGCTCAAGTAGCTGAGTCAAAGCCTCTGTGAGACCAGCGAGGTTTGGATCGTCACCTGAACGAGCCCGCTGCTCCAACAGCAGCAATTCCTGCGTCTTTCGCCAAGTCCGCTCAATTGCCGTCTGCAGGGGTGTCAAGGCGACCTCCTCAGTGGCAACAATCTCACTTCGACGGAGAATATTCGGGAAGGGCTCAGCAGTTGTGAACACAGTCTTCTCGACCCATTGCTCCTTGACGTCAGTTGAACTGGTATGACGCTTCGACGTGAAAGAAAACCGTATTGGCGTGGAGATCAGGAGATGTTCCCTCACCGAGTGAGGGACCTTGGACCGCTGATACACGGGGTGTGTTATATCTCTATGAGCGTTGACGGCGGTGATCTGCAGGAACTGGCCTTCCAGGTCCTCGAGTTCCCCGGAGGAAATAACCTGTGCCGCAGGATGCTGCTTTTGCATACGATCCACAAAAGTGGACATGCGCTCCGTCGGTGGCGCCTCGAAGATGAACTGCTTGTCTCGAAGGGTAGGTGGGAAACCAAGGCCTTTGTAAGCGACACGGAAGTAGCGTGGGTAGAGCTTGTGCTCCTTGGTGATCGCGTCATGGATCTTAGCCATAGAGCTCTGGGCCCTCGAAAGTTTCGAGAAGTCAATGACCGTGTGTTCGTACTGCTCCGCAAGCTCCTTGTAACATGCAAGAGCATGACTCCAGGCCTTGCCGTCCTCGAAATGCTGGATCATCTCGAAATACAGCGCTTCTTTCCTCTCGAATGCGGTCTGTTCAGGGAAGGCAGGATTGGATAGTGCAGGAACAAGCTTCGTCACATCCCAGTCATAAAGATCAGCGTGGAACTGTAGCGCAAGACCCGCTTCCGTGTAGTTGCGTTCAGCGGCATGCGATTGAGCGAGTTCGTGAACGTATCGGATGAAGATGTCCTCCCGGTCCAGGTCTTTCATAAACTCCATGAGTCTCAATGTGTGCAGACTGTCCGTAAGCCCGCCGCTGTTGCACGCCACAAGAAGATCCAACAATTCATCAACAGTTGCGATCAACCCCTTAACGGAAGTAGATAGCGCATCGTCTGACTCGGTGATGGCGTACAAAAAGTTCAAGCAGCTCTCCGATAAACAACTTCTGAGTGATGCTCTCATTCAAGCGCTTTGTCTGGAACAGGACATCCAGACTGGAGATAATTTCCGTCTCGATAATAGACAAATCTTGGTTCAGATCCCATTCGCTGACGATCATTGTCTGCAAAACCTCGACTGCAACGCGTCGCAAACCCTCGTGGACACTGAGGCACAGCTCGACAATCGCAGGCACCAGGCTTGGTACATATTGTACTTGGTAGCCGCCAAGCTTTTTCAGCCCGTAACGGGTTCTCTCCTCCTCAGTCGTATCCCAGCCGATGGCTTCCCAGGCGTGTCGCAACAGCTCAGCACCCTGCTCGCGGACATCACCGCCGATTTTCCAGACCGCCCGGCGCTTCTGCTCGGGGAATGTCTCCAGAGCGAGCGCGTCACTGGACACAACCTTTAGTAGCGTCGTGAAGAAAAGTTCCCACAACTTGGTGTCAAAGGTATCCGCATCGTCGGGTGCCGGGAGGAAAGATTCAATCAGGATCGAAGACAGATACTCGAGACTCTTCACCGTCGCTCGATGGTGGTAAATATGCAGACTGAGCCAGTCTTTCGGGTAGGCTTCGCAGCTGATGATTGACTTGTGCGCTTCAAGAGCATGTGTGAGGAATGTTGCCAGATCATCTTGTTTGAGATGTGGTAGTTTGGGGTTCGGTATCTTCGAGATACCAGCCATCAGTCCAGCCAGCTCCACAAGGGCCTCATCGAACTTCTGTTTCCGATTCGAGGCCTTCACGTGAAACGGAAAAGATTTGCTGTAGAGCATAGAAAGATAGCTTGTCTCTTCAACACCGTCCGACACGACCGCGCAATAAGAGGCCGCAATCTTGGGCATGAACGCGTACAGCTGTGGGTCTGGCTGTTTTAATAGCTCTGCCACGATGGAGCAACACAGGCGGATTTGATCACGATATTGATCCGAAACATCGTTTGTAGATCCCCAGTACGGGTCTAGCCAGCCAATGCAGCTGGAAATCAGGGTTTGTCTTTCAGCGCCAGAGGAGAATATCGAAAGCCGGGTGTAGTTCTGGATCAACACCAGCTTGTAGAGGATCAGCATGCCCTTGACATCTTTGCAGGCGTCCATGAAGCTCAGAGCAATCATGATAATCTCATCCTTGCTCAGCACATTCTCGAGTTCCGGAAGCCAGGTATGGAAATGCTGAACCACAAGGGTCTTGCTGCCGACCTGGGCCGGAGAAGGGTTTCGCATCAGGTTCTCCAGGGATTTGAAGATGGCATGAAGATCTCGGTTGAAGGAGGGCTGAACCTTTGTGATCCCTATACCCTCCTCTTTGGCCTTCTGTTGCTCCCGGGCACTGATGATGAACTTGAGTATATGCCGTCCGACCTTGAAGGCAGCGCGGAGATTTCGTGACTGTTGCGGGGAATCAGTGCTAGTCTGCAGAAGGCGGAGATAGCTTCGTATCAGGCAAGGCGTGGCAAAAGGGAAATTGAACTGCTTTTCCGTGTAATGATCGACGAGCGGCCCGAGGTTGAACCGTCGGTCATGGACAATACCGAGAACCGTCACCATCGCGTTGAAGATCAAGTCTTCAAATTCCTCGCTGCCCGCATTCTCAACTAGGATCCCGAAAAGCGCATCAAAGACATCCCGAAGCTGTTTGACGATCTCTATTTCTGACACGAAAAGGACCCGTCTAAGTAGCTCCAAGATCTCGTCCCCAGGCTTCTCCCTCCAGTTCATGAGGCCTAAGATGACCTGGTCTTGAGAGAGTTCCGTACTGCACAGATAGGTTTCGACTTGCAATGTAGCCAAAGGTCCCGTGACGGCCTCGTCCTTTGCCGACTCATTCTTGCCCAGAGCGCTCCAAGGCAGATTCAGATAGGCGCCTTTACCATTCTCATCCACGTTCGATGTCACTTTGTCATAGGCATGTAGGAGCAAGGAATGGCGGCCATCCCGCAAAAATGCTTGCTGATCCCAAAGTGGCAGCCAACACAAAGCAAATGGGAACTCAGGAGCATCCGCAATGCTCATGATGACATGGGCCCCCTGCACCTGGTCGGTCGGGATTTTCAAACGGATCGTCTGGCCCCAAGGTAAACCCCTTTCGGTGACGGTAGTTCGCCAAGCAGTATGTCCCGAGCTGTTAGAAGAGGCGAAAATGCACTTCTCTAAACGAGCTCCGCTTGCGGTCCGCACTTCCAGGGTCAACTGGAGGTTACGGAACCCCGCCGTGACTGGGACAGGTACCTGACCAGCCTGAGGATGCGACAGAAGGGCGTCTTGTGGGAAAATAGCCCGTGAGATGGTAAGATAGATGTCGGATCTTGGCTTCGAAGGGGCGGCAGGGAACCCCATCCTCCGTGTTTGAGTTACGTTATGCATCAGAGTCGGATTGTTTCGCACAAGGGTATCAGCGTCCGAATCGACGAAAGGATACAGATGGACATGAAGTCGCGATGCGCGGTACGACCTCGCATAGCGGTCCGTCGGGCTAGGCAGAATCGACCGGATAAGTTCGTCGAATCCCTCGGTGTGATCGTCCTCTTCATCATCCTCGCCGAGTGGGGACCAGATATTGATGACCTGCTCAGTATCCTTGCCCTGCCTCAGGATTTGGGTGACGTCGAGGATACCAATTCCAACGGTACGAATGACAGAACCTTCCTTAGCAGGGGTACTGTCCTTGGCGCCTTTGCTGCTGCTGTTAGAGTCGCTTGACTGCGGTGGGTTCGTCGTATTTTCCTTTCCAGGCTCAGAATTTCCCGGAGTTTTCGGCTTGGCAGTCCAAATCACGCTGCGTCGACCCCTTTGACTGCCTTTGACACTGTTGAGATTGGACGCGCTGCGGCTGGCTAATGCGCCATCGCGTGAGCTGGAAGACTTGGGCATGCGCGGGAACGACGGGCGAGGCGACTCTGCTGACTGAATCATAACGACAAGATAGAGCTGCGCATTCCCTCCAGTACCTTCTCCAATGTCGGCCGCACACAGCTCCGTAAACAAGGTCTTCAATTTGCTGCTGTGCGCCAAGGACGAGAAGCTTTCCGGGGATGGAACGTCTAAGGTGTAGGTTTCCGACAAAGGTTTCAGGTCACCATTATCCACTCTTGAAGACAGATAGAGGGCGAGCGTCACCGGGCCCGAATTTGTTCCTGATACCGCTTTGACCTCAAGGAGAAGATGATGGAGTGAGACTGAGTCGCTATGCTGCGTTGGGTCACTTTCCAACATGCTCATCTCCGATTGAAGCTTGGTCACCTCAATCGCTGAATCTTCGCCAGTGAGCAAGCGGCCCCGTTGCTTCGGATCCCGCACGATGACCTCGCCCGTTAGCATCTTGTTCCCTCGGACGAGATTCCAAACGGTCTCCTGCCGCACCGCATTTTTCTCCTGTCCGGTAAGCACGTCGTGCAGAAGCTGTCTCCTGGCGAGATCCAGCTCCTGCACGATGTTAGACATGCTCTCCAGGACGTCATACTGACGGCTGAGCAACAGCTCGTGAAGATTTGTTGAATGCCACTCTCGCAAGCAGGAAGCGATCTCGTCGATCAAGGGCTCTTCGTACGAGGTTGGTGTTTCATCGCCAATTTTGAGCATGGGAACCGGAGCGGCGGGCTTGGGCGCATTTGGATCGCGCGCGGAAACCGATATGGGGGTCAGGGGGACCGATGCCGATCGGAACGTGGCGACTGAACGTGGGCGCGCACCATTCTCATCCTTCAGGAGGGACAGGCTCAGACGATCGCCGCCATCATTGTTGTATTCTCCCGCTTCCGACGCAGCGGTTTCCCTCAAATGCCCGTTAACACCGTTCGCCAGGGCGCTGCTGGACCGGTCACCATTCTCCAACACTTTGCGACTCTCCGCGTCGCCCAGCACTTCGCGAATCTCGACGCAATTCTTGGGGAAGATGCCGGAGAAGACGCGGGCCTCCAGGGTCTGGCCCTTCACGCTGGTGAGTCCCGCAAGGAGGGAAGGGGGCGCTACCAGGTAGCCTCGATACCACTCGCCATTAGCCCCTCCCTGTTCGATTATATACAATTCATCGCCAAGCTCGAGGGGTAGGTCCGCGGGGGACTCGGGTTGGAATGGGTAAGTGGCGACCGCGAAGGCAATGCGAGGCAGAGGCCGCCAGGGCATGTCTGCGCCTCCTGAGGATGCTCGGCCGTTGCGCGCACCAGACCCGGGTGGGACGAAGACCTAGCGAGGGCAAAGCTTGTCGGGGAAAGGCTGTCACCTGGAGAGTCGAGGAATTTGCTGTCAATTGCGCGACATGCAGAGAAGACGTTGCGGGGTCCGGGGGACTGGATTGTGCGTGCGATTCCACTCGGAGGAATGTACAGTACCGTTTCCTTCTAGGAAAGATTGACGATGCAGTGCTCCTAGATCACGAACCCGAAAGCCGGGTAAAGTTAGCAGCTAGAAGCTTAATTTTTTTTTTCGAGAGGAGGAGAACTATGGATATGTGCACCGAAAGAAAATGAAAAAAAAATAATAAATTGCAGTTCCTGTCCGGCAGGGTCCAAGGCAAGTGGACGCGGTCTCCGCGAACAGCCCTGGAACACGAGAGATACCGCGGGTGGTGC